TATATATATATATATATATATATATATATATATATATATATATATATATATATATATATATATGTCTGTACACCGCAGATAAAACTAATAAAAGATGACGGCAATAAAAAAAACAAAAAAAAAAATAAAAAAAAAAATAAAGAAAATAAAAGAAAAAACAAACGGAAGTTGCAGCGCAACAAACCAATATTTAGGGTTTAGGGTTTAGGGTTTATTTAGGGTTTAGGGTTTAGGGTTTAGGGTTTAGGGTGTTACTGGGTGTTTGCTGCTGGGTTTCTGTCGCTTGCTGCGGTGGTTTCTTCTGCACTAAAGAGAAAAATAAAATAAAAAATAAATAAAAAATAAATAAAATAAATAAAATAAATAAAATAAATAAAAAATAAATAAAATAAATAAAAAAAACTAAATTTATGCTGCTGCTGCAGCGAGAGGGGCCCCCCAGCTTCTTGTATACACAGCCCCCCAGCATAGTTTGTATTGCTGCTGCTGCTGTTGCTGCTGCTGCTGCTGCTGCTGCTGCTGCTGCATGCGTTTTGTTTTTTTCTTGTCTTTGTCTGTTGTTTGTTCTTTGTTGGGTTGCTTGCTGCTGTCTCCCCCCTATACACCGTATCTGCTTCCTTCTGCTGCTGCTTCTGCTGCTGCTGCTGCTGCTGCTGCCGACGTGGCTTATACTACCACACAACTGCAGCAGCAGCAGCAGCAGCAGCAGCAACAGCAGCAGCAGCAACAGCAGCAGCAGCTGCTGCAGCGTCTGCAGCAGCAGACAAGGTCCTCAAGCTCATCCTGAGGAAGCCTCAGCAGCGCCTGTCGATACTGCTATTTCTGCTGCTGCTGCTGCTGCTGCTGCTGCTGCTGCTGCTGCTGCTCTTGCTGCAAATATTTGTGCAGCCCAGCATCTGCTGCAGCAGAAGTTGCAGCAGCAGCAGCAGCAGCAGCAGCAGCAACAGGAGCATCTGTTTGCTGCGTAACACCTCCTTGTTGTTGTTTATAGTTTTGTTGGTGTTTATTGTTTTATTATATTTATTTGTTTTGTTTCTGTTTATTTTTATTTTATTTTTTATTTATTTCTTTCTTTTTTATCTCCTTATCACTGAGATGCAGCAGCACTGCAGCATGTCGCCGCTGCTGTTGTGCTGATGACGCAGCAGCAGCTGCAGCAGCAGCAGCAGCGACAGCGGCCGCTTCCATTTGCTACTGCAGGAAGGCCTGCTTCTATTCCCGCCTCATCTTTCTATCAGCAGCAGCGCCCCCCTGCAGCAGCAGCAGCAACAGCAACAGCAGCAGCAGCAGCAGCAGCAGCTCCTGCTGCTGCTTCTGTGTATACTAAGACCCGTATCCGATCTCCTCCTTCAGCAGCAGCAGCAGCAGCAGCAGCACGAGCACCAGCAGCAGGATCAGCAGCAGCAGCAGCAGCAGCACCACTAGCACCAGCAGCAGCAGCAGCAGGACCAGCACCAGCAGCAGCAGCAGCAGCAGCAGCAGCAGCAGCAGCAGGAGACACAGCATTTCGCTTCGGAAAGTTTGCGGGTAAGACATTTGCTTTTGTTGCTGCAGCAGACAGCAGCTACTGCAGGTGGGCCTGCAGCCTCACCGAGCCAAAGGGGCAGCTAGCAGCATTTGTTGCTTATCTGCAGCAGCAGCAGCAGCAGCAGCAGCAGCAGCAGGGGGAGGGACAGCAGCACCAGCACCAGCAGCAGCAGCAGCAGCAGCAGAAGCAGCAGCAGAAGCAGCTTAAGCTGCAACTCTCCCCAAATAGAACAATTCGGTTAGCTGGTGGGGCTCAACCAGCAGCAGCAGCAGCAGCAGCAGCAACAGCAGCAGCAGCAACAGCAGCAGCAGCAGCTGCTGCTGCTGGTACTGAAACTCCTGCAGCAACAGCAACTGGTGCAAATGGAGCACCGCTACAGCTAAACGCGGCAGCACCAGCTGCTGTTGCTGCTGCTGCAGCACCAGCAGCAGCAGCAGCAAACACAGAAGCAG